AAATGATGGAAACATATGGAAGTGGAACATTTGGAATATAATTTTTTGATGCATCTACCGACTTCTTAGGAAAACCCATAGTAATATGCCAATTATTTAAAATAAGAAGAAATACTACCATAGAAGGAGATAATACTAGTCTAAATATGAAAATCCCTTGCACCTTAGAAAATTTTCAGGAATGGATGAGTCAAAAAAGGGCCTGGGGAATATTAACTCTAAAATCAAGAATTGAAGATATGTTAAGACATAAAAGAACCAGTGTAATAGGACATACTAAAGGAGGAGAAGTGGAAGAAATAATAACCTTATATTATAATAATTTTGACATGATAACCAGTGATCCAACTGACCTATTAGAAATGCATAATAAATTAATAAACTTAAAACATCAGCATGATCTAGCTACTATTGAGTTCTATACAACTGTCATCGAGCAGAGGAAAAAACAAAATAATATCAAGGCAGGTCCGAGCTCTGAAGATCCCTTCTGAAGGAGCTGAAGATGTATTATCTTACCTGATGTAATAACGGGTGTATTGTCAAGTATTATTATCAACTGGCCCAATGTAGCCTAAAAAACTACAGTAAGCCAACGGCTCTCAGCCCAGTGGGCGTACTAACAAATTATTATCAAAATATTATCATGGTTCTCTGGCCCAAGTGGCGTATTACGGTTCAAAGTATTATGGTTTTCTGGCCCAAGCGGCGTATTATCAAGAATTTTCTGGTCCAAGGGACGTATCAGCAAAATAATATCAGAAATATTAAATCTGTATTATCCAAGTTATTACTGGTGGAAACTCAATATCAGCAAGTATTAAAGGAAGGAATCTCAAGAAAAAAAAAAATGATCAGCCAAAATCAAGTTGCAAAATTTTATCAAATAAAGATCAGGAAGAAATGCCTTATCAGCAAAGAAGGAAGAAGACAAAAATGCTATAAGACAAAATGTAAGGAGAAAGAGATAAAGACACCTTAGTAGTTATCTTATTATTGTACTAGTGTGTACCTAGTTTGAAATATTTACATGTAGTAGTTATCTTATTATTGTACTAGTGTGTACCTAGTTTGAAACTTTTGATGTAGTAGTTATGTTATTGTACCTAGCTTGAAGACTTTTCTTGTAAGAGTTATCACTTAGGAGTTGTAAAATATTTGTAAGTTTCCTACCGAGGTTTTCTATATTTTCCATCTCATGTTGTTATTTTACAACTCCTAAGTGATAACTCTTACAAGAAAAGTCTTCAAGCTAGGTACAATAACATAACTACTACATCAAAAGTTTCAAACTAGGTACACACTAGTACAATAATAAGATAACTACTACATGTAAATATTTCAAACTAGGTACACACTAGTACAATAATAAGATAACTACTAAGGTGTCTTTATCTCTTTCTCCTTACATTTTGTGTTCTAGCATTTTTGTCTTCTTCCTTCTTTGCTGATAAGGATTATCTGAAGAAAAGAACTCAACTGATGACTTATCTGATCTCCAACTTTTCTGATACTTTTATTAAACAAAGAGGCTCCTTATATAGAAAACCTCGGTAGGAAACTTACAAATATTTTACAACTCCTAAGTGATAACTCTTACAAGAAAAGTCTTCAAGCTAGGTACAATAACATAACTACAAAGGCAACGAAAATAGTCCCCGACAACGGTCTACGTCGACTTCGATAAAGAACAAATTCCGGCGACCTGCAACAGACAGAAAAGAACTCCAGCGACCTTCGGCGAGAGGCTGAGTAGCGTCGACCTCCAAGCAGCAGAGAAGCATAGACGAGCAGAAGACAACTTCTGGACTCCGACGGGCAGCATTCCGACGACCTCTAGACTCAGGCAATTTTGACGGTAAAACTCCGGCTACTTTTGCAAAAGCAAAAAAAAAAAAAAAAAAAAAAAAAGCTCCGCTCCCCGGTGTTTGTTCCATTCTCGTTTGACGGCGGCAGTTCGAAGGCGGTCCACGCCCCTGCGGTACCGCGCTCCGGTGGTTGTTCTACGAGACGGATAATTGCCCTTTGGTTTTGCTGTTCCAGATCGCTACTTGATTTCCTGTTATTTCCTACTTGCTCTTCTTGGTCCTGCAAATAAAATATACATAGAGGAAGATGAAATATAAAGTATACATAGAGGAAGATGAAATATAAAGTTTTACCTAGTTAGAAAGTCAGACTTTGGATTGCTTCTCCTCACTTCCCTGTTCGTGATTATGGTGTGAGTTTATAAGTGTGGTTAGACTCCTATTTATAGTGCATCGTAAAGGAGTTGTAGTTGGAGTTGGGCGCTACAAATGTGATTGGGATAAAATTTTTGAAACTGAAACAGGTTTGCTGCTACAATCACGTATGAAATAGTGTGAGCTTGACTGGAGTTAGGATTTACGTGCAGCACCGTAGTTTGAGCTTTGGGGCAAATTATTGTATGGACCATGGTCTACAAAGTGTTACGTGGACCATAACAAAAAGTACATTTTTAATACACTAAATGTATATTATTTTTGTACTGAATGTACATTATACAATATAATATATACTTAGTACAAAAATAATGTACATTCCCTGTATATAATGTACATTATTTTTGTACTGAATGTACATTATTCTTGTACTGAATGTACATTATTTTTACAATATACAAAATATGATCCACACAATTTGTATGAACCATGGTCCACACAATAATGATTGTGACTTGAGTTGATGGGCTTAGAATGTTAAATGGGTCAATGGATATTAAGATTAATGTCCAACATAGCAGAAGCTTGGCAATTTATATCCTACACCACGGCGCGCGTTGCACTATGCACCCAGATGCAAAACGACGTCGTTTTAATTTAATTTATTTTTTTTGAAATTTCCCGCCCTAATGTATGGCAGTTATTTTTTCTTTTAAAAAAAATTCCTGTTCAAAAATGTACATAATGTTATACTAGAATACACATAATTGTATACATGAATGTACATAATTATATAACAAAATATACATACTCTTTTTAAAAGATAATACACATAATCTAACATAATACATAATAAACATAAACTTTTAACATAATACACATCAACTCTTAACATAATACACACAAATTTTCTGATTCGGATGTACATAATTGTATAAAAAGAATGTACATAATTGTATAAAAAATGTACATAACTGTATAAACAAATATACATAATTGTATGAACAAATATACATAATTGTGTGAACAAATATACATAATCACAGCAACTTCCCACCGCGCCTCCCAAAACGACCCCAAAACGACGTCGTTTTGGGAGGCGCGCGACGCACAGTGCTACGCGCGCCGTGGTGTAGGGTATAACGATTGCAGAAGCTTCATACCTTTGGGCTCATAGAATGTCACTAATGTCATCCTAAAATAACATTTGGGCTAATGGAATATTCAAGTGTATAATTGAGCTTGCGGAACTAGAATATATTGTGCCATTTTAATCTTTTGTGATTAAAATGATTTTGAGTTCATGAGACATCCAGGCAAACATTTGGGATCACGGAATTTAGATGACTACGATAAATTTAAAGGACCGTTGTTAAATTTCGAGACTTGCTCGCTCCAAGCATACCAAGTGGCGTGTCCCGGCAAGTCTCGAGGGGCAATTTGTAGACACAGAAAATTTGAACCCGACAAATGGATTGACAAAATTGTTATTGGGCCGATGTTGAGATTGTTATTGGGCCAATTTAATTAATTGGATCATAGAAATTAAATTAATTTAATTAGTCCAATTAAATTTGGTTTGAGCTATTGAATTAATTGATTAATTGGTCCAAGCCCATTTCATATTTGAATTATAATTATAATTTAAATATAATATTTATTTTATTATATTTGAATTAAATAATTATAATTTAATTTGAATTTGAATTTGATTATAGAATAATGAACTTAAACTTGGTTCTGAGCAAGGTTCATTTTCTAGAATAATTAATTAGTTAATTAATTAATTAAAATGAGAGTTTGTTGAGGGATTTTGGTTAGGCCTACAACTATAAATAGGGCCTTCATTTGACATTCCAAAACACAACTTGAAGACTTGAGGAGTTGAGAACATTTGAAGAGTTTGAAGGCATTGAAGAACGCTTGAAGATTTGAAGACGTCTTTTGAATATTTTGTAGGCAATTTGAATCCATTGCAGGGTTGATTGTTTCTAAATTTTTGACGTTCGTTGCTGAAAGTCACGCCACTTGAATCCCGGAGGCACGCGCCAATTGAATCCCGGAGGCACGCGCCAATTGAATCCTGGAGGCACGCGCCAATTGAATCTCGGAGGCACTTCAGTAGATAACGTTAGTGAAGAATCAGAAAGATTACACAGAGATTTTGTACCTGCACTTTGAATTATACAGACGCTGTACACGGAACACGAAATTTTGTGAATATATACAAAGTTTTTTTTTTTTTTTTTTTTGTGTGTTTACAAGAGCTATGGTCAAGGCACCGGCCAGTGTCGTTTAAATAGTGTTTAAATAGTCTATCTACTTTTATATTTATAAAGCTAGCTTTACCTTGTGTTTACTTTGTGCAATTGTGCTTTTGGATTTACTTTGTTAACATGTGCGGCTAAAGAGTTTGTGGGTTTGAGTTTATTTGATTCTATCTTTGACTGAAATGCTGAATACATAACGGGGGTTTTGCTTTGGAATTGCTAGGTTTTGAAGTGCGTTAGTTATTGTAGAGATGTCAACGAGGAGGGGCGGGGCCATCTCCCCCATCCCCCACCCCCGATTTTATACCTCATTCCCGATTCTCGTCCTTATCCCTGTCAGGAAAGGGAAAAATCTCCCCATCTCCATCCCAACAAGAATTATCCGAGAACAGAGAATCCCCTACTCGTTTTTAATTTATAAAAATATTAACATTTAAATTACATTTAAATAAATAATTCATATATATTCAACTTAATACTACTAAAATATATATGGCGAGGAGAGTACTCTCCATCCTATCCCTACTCCTGCCCCTGACGGAAAATTAAAAAAAATTCTCCCCATCTCCACTCCCGTTCCCCTATTTTTATCCTCATCCCCATCTCCGCCGAGACAAGTCGGAGAGTCAGCCGATTCACTGTTGGGGTGGATAGGAGTACAATTGACATCTCTAGTTAATTGTTTTGTTTGATCTTGTATATGATTGAGGCCTCGTTATATAATAAACTCTATGAATTTGTGTTGTTGCTATAAGAATAGAACACATTTTTTGTTACACTACACACACTCTTGTTCTTACTATGAGAATAGAAGATCAAAAGGATCAGAGCTTTTTGTGCTATGTGCTTGTTGTGCCAAACTACCAATATAATTGACTGGACTTGTCTTGAGAATAGAGTCTAAGGTTCGATTGGCTTACCAATTGCCTACAAGAATAGCATTTGTGTATGACTTGAGTCCACGTTATCATATGAATCCCGGTCCATGCTGTAACCATTGTTAAAAAAAAAAAAAAAAAAAAAAAAAAAAAAAAAAAAAAAAATGCCTAGCATATACGGAGTATTAGATAAAACAAAAACCTTGTTTTTTTTTTTTTTTTTTTTTTCCAAATTCATAACATTCTATTTGATACAAATTCATAAAACAAAAACTAAGACCCAAATTGCTCATACAAAATGATTTAAAACTTGTTGAAAGTGTATTTGATACACAAAATTATTGAATCTTGTTTTTCCTTGAGTTTTCTTACACCAAAAACCAATATTTTATAACACCACGGACTACTGTAATTCCATATTTAGATATGTGCACTCTGAGTTGTTTGGAGAATCGCTTGAATTGACTAGAATTTCATCATAATGATTTCTCATTGCTTGAAAGTTGAATTCATGTAGATCGGATTTGTACTCAAAAATATCATCATGGTCTTCAAGCATACTTACTACTGCAGACATGGATGGCCTTAGCACTGGCGAAGGATTAGTACAAAGCAAAGCCACTTTGATCATTCTGAGTGCCTCTTCTTTGTCAAAATCAGAACCCAATTTTGGATCAATTAGCTCCATTAGGTTCCCCTTTTTTTGAAGATCAAGTGCCTGAAAATTGTGCAATAAATACAACAAAACATAGGTCACTTAGTTTGTAAGGTCTACAATCAAAGAATTGAGTTTTGTAGTACTGATATATCTCACCCAATCAAGGATGCAAATAAATTTCTCTTCAGGATGATACTTCATGTTGCTCTTCCCTGCAACAATTTCTAGTGCCACTACACCGAAACTATAGACATCTGCTTTGTATGTTAAGTAACCCCACATTGCATATTCATGAGCCATGTATCCTCTATAGATAAGTAAAGAGTAATAGTTCATTTACTTGAAAGATTCAACATAGAGAAGTGTATAATGAAGTCAGAAGATTCAAAATTTGTCAAAACTCTTCAGAAGAGCAATAAACTTTTTAAAAATGAAGATGTTTATGCAGCCTACAATTACTTTCAACTATATGAAGAATTTGGAAATGCAAAATAAGAAAACTATACAAGATAACACTTACATTGTCCCTGCAACTCTTGTGCTAATATGTGTATTTCCATCATCGTTAAGTTTAGCAAGGCCAAAATCAGAAATTTTTGGATTGAGTTCTTTGTCAAGAAGCACATTGGTGGCTTTTATATCTCTATGAACAATCTTTATTGCTGATTCTTCATGCAGAAAAGCTAAACCTTTTGCAATACCGAGACAAATTCTTTGTCGAAAAGACCAGTCTATTTTCAGTTGACACTCTTCTGAACCTATAATTAACTGTTAACTCAAAACACTTATCTTTATCTCAATATAAAATAAACTAAACCATCTCTACTCTAGTAGCATATCTTACATATACATATAAAGAAAATTATTGTTATTATTTTGACTAGCTGGCAAATTAATTATGATTTCAGATTTACCGAAAAGAGCATGGGCAAGGCTATTGTTTTCCAAGTACTCGTACACCAGCAACAATTGCTTTCCCTCAACACAAGACCCATAAAGTTTCACAAGATTAGGATGTTGCAAACAAGAAATCATGCCTATTTCATTTAAAAATTCGCGATTTCCTTGACTTGATTTGGATGAGAGTTTTTTTACAGCAATAACTGTACCATCCAATAATGTACCCTATACACATAGAAAACATTTAATCCAAGATCACTAACATAAACATCTAAATAAGTCCAAAAGCAAAAATGTCAAGGCATGAATTAACAGATATTATGGATAATCATATTTCACTCTACCTTGTAGACAAGCCCAAAGCCACCTTCCCCAATCTTATTTGCAGCATCAAAATTATTTGTAGCGGCTTTAATTTGTGTGAAGGAAAACAGTCCTGTTCGTAGATCAAGATCTCGTAGTTCTGTACAAGAACAATAACTTTAAAGAAATTTCTAGAAAAAGAAAGAATGAGTAGTTTTGGGTTGAACAAATTGTCACAACGTCCAAGTTTCCTATACAAAATTAGAAAGTAATTAAAATTAAATGCATATATTACCCTTTCTAGTTGAGGTCATGTTTCTTATCAAGATCTTCCACCAAGCAAAATAGAGAAATGTGGAAGTAAGAATCAAAGAAAAAATTACTGAACCAACTATGATTGAAGTCTTTCGCTTTTTGGGAGGCTTGGAATCTACAGAATTAGCTAGAAAGTAACAAAAATATTAATAAAAACCTAAATATATAAATATGTGCTATTAATTAAAAATATGCAATCCATAACTAATTTTACCAAATTCCACAGAAATGGCAGAGATTAAAGGTCCATATGTTCCTCTACTTGGGGCTGCTGTTGTTCCTTTCCCCGCATACTCAAAACACACCTCTAGAGTTTTATCTCTCACAATTGTTTGGAATTCTTTAACCAAGGCTTTATCAACTCCTTGTGCTTCGCTTTTAATTTCAAAATCCTTTAGTTTCACTTCACCCTGCAGTAAATAAAATCACTATAGTCAATTGCACATCATTTAATCATTGAAGTCATTCGTTTAAATTAAAATTCTTAGTTAACCTGTATATAAACATTAAATATGCGTCTTCCAAGACTTTGAAAAGATCTATTATCTCTAATTACTATCTCTGCAAAATGAAGTTTTACAGTATAGTTTCCATTTGCCAAACAGCGCCCATAATACGTTAGAGATAAAGGAGACAAACGAGCAGTCTTGTAGATTTCAGAAACGTCTTTTCCATTGACGACTGATATATTTGTTGTTGTATAGTCATTTAGTGATATATTTTTATCCCAAAAAATCCCTGTACGACTGGTTACCCAGTTCTCTCTAGTGGGAACAAATGTTGCGAAGCTTGTGCTATCTACATCTGCGTCATATGTAGTGTCACCAATCAAAACATTGCCCCCACCACAATTGATGTGAAATGAATACCAATCTGCAGAAAAATGAACTAGACATTAGTCATACAATGATAAACATAAAATGGCTACTGCTTGTCAAATGCAAATGACACATGGTGCAAGTATATATTGTGATATGATAAGCAGTGCTTACCCTTCGAACATTGCTGAAAACACTTTGCAGCATCTCTATACAAAGCCAAAATGGAGCTCAAGTAAGAAAACCTTTGGGGACTATATTACATTAAGAGTGTTAATGGGGTGTTTAATATATAGTTGGTAGCTTATTTGGTTAGTGGGTTTGACTAGTTGATAGCAATAGTTGATTGTAGAAAGATGTTTGGTAAGTTAGTTGTTAGATGATTCCTGATTACGTTCAAAATGACTTTCTCAAAAAACTAATCCAAAAAACGGTTTTGAGTAGTTTTTTGAATTTTAGCGTTTTGGAGCAATAAATTGTTACAAAAATTTAATTAATCAAACACTCATATTGGTTGTTTAACCAAGTCAAACCGTTAGTAGCGGTCAAACAAGTAAAAATTGACTGATAAGCTAACTAGGTTACCAAATCAGACCTTTAGTGTTTTGAAGCAATAAGCTGTTGCAAAAAGTTAATTAATCAAACATTTATATTAATGGTTTAACCAAGCTAGTCAAGCAGTTAATAGTGATCTAACAAGCCAAAATTGATTGATAAGTTAATTATGTTACCAAATATGACCAATAACTTTTTCAAAAGATGTTAGAACTTACGAACTTTCTCCTCCCTTGTAGCTTTTGAACAAGTTTCTGACAGAACATGAGAAAGTCAGCTAAAATGATCCATGTCCGAAGGAACACTTGAAAGAGTAGATGTATAAAAGGGACAAAATCTTACATGTTTTCCCGACAATTTGGTGGCATTGAGCTTTCATCAAAATTATTGTAGGAAAGATCTATGTTCACTGCTGAAAATCTTTGATTTTCTGACCACCTAAAAAAATGGTCGAAAAGTAACATTTATCAATTTTTAGTCGAATGGGAAAAGAGGTCATAAATTCCGACCACCTTACTTAGTGGTCAGAAATATCGACCACAAAGTAAAGGTGGTCGAAAAAAAAATTCAAATTTGAACTGAGTTGAGAATTTTCGCCAATCTTTCTAGTAGCTAATTTTCTGACCATTTTACGAAATTTGATGCAATTTCCGACGACCTTTTCGGTGGTCGGAAATAGCAACAAAGGTTTTTCCGGATACTAAAAGTTGTCGGAACAAGGGCTTCCGACTTGATTTAAGATCACTTTCAGGTAGTCAGAAATTCCTTAATTTCCAGCCGTGGTTAGTGTAGACCAACTTTTAAAATATGTTAGAGAATAGTTTAAAACTCATATATAAACCATTCATCTATTGTATAAGACTGAACTTACAATGTGGAAGTTTGATTTAGAACCCATGGAGGTATTTTCCCAGTAAGGTTGTTGTTCGTTAGAAACCTAAGAACATCCATATAGCAAAAATTCAATTTAGTAAGGTGTTACCATTCAAGTGAGTAATGTATTATATAAATATAAACATGAATTAATATTTTTAAATGATATTATATATTATTTTTCAGTGTATTGTATAATATAAATATGAATTAATACTTTAGTGTAACAAAATTAGTACAAGCTATGATTATGATTAAAATACTAAAACATTATTATCCATCAAATCATATTATATATAAATTAAAATTTATATATTTTTTTCTAATTATAAAACATAGTACGTAATGTTAAATAAATATCTTCTTGCGGAAATAACATTTTTACACCTGAATTGTTTTAGGTTTGAAAATTTGGTCCTTACTTTTCAAAACAAATTTAATTAGTCCCTTAATTGTTTATTATGTTGCACTTTTAGTATCTTTGTTGTATAAGACAATTTTCACTTTAGTTTTCGATTATTAAAATTTTCAAATTTGATACCACGACTTTTAAATACTTGTCACATTTGGTACATCCAACCTAAATTTCAGCTACCGATGACAAAATTTTATGCAAGTGAATTATCTTAAGGTGAAATTATCACTTTTTAATACTTTTTTCTTGAAATTATTTTTAAGATAATTTTTTTTGTTAACCTTATTTTTAGAAAAAGGACAATTTTATTCACTACAAAATTATCTTAAGTTTAAGAAAAAAGTAATTGAAAATGACAAATTTAGCCATAAAATAATTCATTTGCTTGAAATTTTGTCACCAATAGCTAGAATTTAGGCTCGAAAGACCAAATGTGACAATGATTTAAAAGTTGTGAGATTAAATCTAAAAATTTTAATAGTTATGGACCAAATGTGAAAATGGTCTCATACTCGTTAGACCAAAAATAACTTAGCAAAATCTTTAACATCAAAATTGATTTGTTACTCACAAAAACTTCACGTTGTTAGGAAGCCCTTGAAGACTTTGAAGACCTTGAAGACCACTAATCCCTCCTTCGAGATGATTAAAGCTCAAATCTCTGCAAACTCAATATAATAAAAAACAGTAAATTAAAGCAACCGTAAGCTAATATGATATTAACAAGTTGAGGAAGCAGAAAATGGAATTTTAGTCCTCTAATAAAGAAAAGAACAGAATTACAGAAACGAAAATTTTCTGAAATAATTACACTGGATAATTTATTTATTGACATGATTTGTTAGTACAAAATAAACAATTTCCCCACACAAATTAAATAGTCCAGAAATTTAGTTACTGACAATATTTGCAAGTTTGCCATAGCACGCAAATCAGGTAAATTCCCAGAAATGTTGCACCTACTCAACATCCTGCACCAAAAATTATTTTTTGCATAAATAATATGAAACTTAAGTTCATATTTTGGAAATTAAAGAAAATGGGATACTCACAACTTTCTAATGTTTATCATGTTATTTATTGTAGGAAAACTCGAGACACCTCCATTTAGGTCACTGATTCTATTGCAGGTTTGTGTTATTGACAATCATATAATAATCAGAACTTGAGTATTAATTAATTTATATTGTAATGGAAATCAATCTCAACTCACAGTTCTGTCAAGCCTGACGGTATAAATTCGTTTTCAGGTATGGGTCCTTCAAAACCACTTGCTTGAAGCTCTCTGCCAATCATATATTATGCTAGCATGTCAATAACAAATAAATGATTTCATCAATTTCTAAGTGTTAGAGTTGAATGCTTACAGTCGTTGAAGGTTTGTTAAAGATCGAAAGCTAGGCAGTTTCCCAGTGAAGTTATTACTGTTCAGCCTGCTGCATTATATTGATTTCCCCAAGACACAATGACAAGTAGTAAACAAAAAGTATAGAATGAAGAAATGACGAATTAAGCTAAGGATTGGAGTTGCAGCATAAATTAGGAATATGTATATGCATGCACTTACAGATCTTTCAAATTTGTGAGATTAGTAAGTACTTGTTTTGGCAATTCACCCGTGAGATAATTACCACTAAGAATGCTACGGATCAGAGAACAAAAATAGAGAAAACGTCAAACAAGTGATAACGTACCAAAATTATATATATATATATATATATATATATATATATATATATATATATATATATATATATATATATATATATAGAGTAAGGTTCAAGTGCGGCGGTATCTTACGGTGCGGCAGTGCGGCATCACCAATAGTTTAACAAATATACACCATCAACGTTAGGAAAATATACCACAAAAACACACAAATTAAATTAAGTGCGCATCACCAAAAACACACCATTAGATGTGAGCAAAAACACTATACAGTGTTGGGAAATACACCATTGAGGGTGTTGAGTTATATGGTATTTATTTTTGGATCTGTTGTGTATTTTTTGGTGTTTTATTGCATTTGATTGTGATGTGTTTCCCTTACATGGGTGATGCATGTTGTTAACACTGTTAGTGTGTTCTGAAATTCCGTCTCACCACTGCACCTAAAGCCCTCGTCGCATTTGAACTTTTTTCTATATATATATATATTCAGCTAGTAGTTAAATTAAGAGAAGGATTATATTCTTACAGATTCTGTAAGTTGGTAAGATTCCCAAGCTCTAGTGGAACGGTTCCATTGAACATATTGTTTTCCAAGCTTCTGAAAATTCGATCATTTGTTGCGTTGTTAGGACAAAGTCCAAACATTTAATTAAATTAGTTCCTCATAAAAAGTTGTACTATATGTGTGAGATAGGGAACATACAATTGTTGAAGAGTTGTTATATTTCCCAAGTATGTTGGAATTGGCCCCGACAATCGATTCACACCAACAATGCTGCAAACTTTCACTTCTTTAGCATGGATATATGACAAGCAGATATATAGCTTAGGTTATAATATATACACAATACAACTTACATAGCTACCAATTTGGTAGAAGCCCATTCAAGGGGAATTGTACCACTTAAATAGTTGCGGGCGAGATCACTGCATGCAGTACGTAAACAATATAGTACAACAGATTATTAATGCATAAACGTAGAAAGTGTAGATTGGTACATTATCTTGATAAAGGTTAAGTTCGCCAAGGAAGGAGGAAGGACACCTTGCAGATCCTGTCCCCTTAAAAGTCTGTTTACAAAAAAAAAAAATAATAATAATAGAGACTATTAAGGATCATGTTCTCAGAATCTATTTTTGAGCACTTACCTGATATTTCTTCCATCTCATTTGATGTGTCTGATTCGATTAACTAGCTTTCAGTGAAGTTATTTTCCATTCAAATTTTTCATAATATTAAGTTTTGTATTAGATGATGATGAGAGAGTTGGATAGAAGGAAGAGCTTAGCTTACATGCTTTGCACATGGCAAATACCAGCAGGGAAACTACAATCACAAGTGAGGGAATTATTGTACAGAGGCATATCTTCCCTATATGGTGTCATCCAATTTGAGTTGTTGTCACAAGGATTTAGACTAAAATTCCAATCCTCCTTGCCCAGTTCTTTAGCTATTTCCCTAAGTGCATCGACTGCCATATATATATACATACATGAAACAAAATTAATAAATACTATGTAATTTGCATGTAATGACGATAGAAAATTCATAATCACTAAAGAAAACAACAGAGTGAGAAAGAGATGATCGAGGCTCACTTTCATCTTCAGGAAGATACCCACTCTGCGCTTCAAGAAATATGGGAAAGAAGGATAATATAATTGGTATGAGGATTATAGACATCGCTGAGTTCTAGCTGGGGAAGATAATTAAGCTGCAATGATTGTGTTATTTAATACATTTGTTGTGCATATATATAATAAATAGAGATAGAGTAATGATTGAAAGAATTGAAGGAAACAGCAATTGACCATGAGTCAATGAGCCCTGTGCAAGTGGACCCAGAAATCATTACAATCAGACAATCAGCTAATGTTATAATCCAATTACCTGCATGGGCAGCTCAACTGGTCACAGAGGTGAAACTTTGGAAGAATGACTAGGGATCGAGTTTCACCACTGGCAGTGTGGGAGCTACCTCTCAAAGTGAGGGGGGTTCTTTGTGCGCAGTGAGCAGAGGTCTAGTCTCTGTGGTTCATGTTCAGTTGAGTTACCATGATTTACATCCTTCAGCCTTTTTGGAAGAATGTTATAAGCCAAGTAGTCAAACTCATCTACTAATCCAATCAACATAACAAACATCTATTTACCAAATACTCCCTTAGTGATTCTTGTGCCATTATTATATAGAAGTAGTAATTATATTTAGTCTCATGATGATATAACATATTTTAAAAAACAAAAATGTCACCGTGATTTACATTCTCCCAAATGCTCTGTCGTGTCGAGGTGTGGGGGGCCAATAGGATTAGGGATTCAACCTTTTGGAAGAAGTTCAATTGTCTTTATTGTATATGTGTTGTGTATATAAATGTGTCTTAATTAGGAAGTGGCTGGAGATTAAGATTATTATGAAATACCAGACTTGAGCTTAAGCTTAACTAAGTTAATTTCATGCCCTTAATTATATATATTAAGTGATAAGGGAAATTCACATCCATTATCTGATAGTGTGTATTAAGTAATCACAAGAAGGTAAACCAACTTATGTTGCATATAGTTAAATTGGCTTAAATTAAGAAGGTCAATAAATAAATATTTTATATTCCTAGGTAAATTTCTTGGAATATAATTTTAGATGAATATGACTCCAAGTTTTCCAAGTAAATTTCTTGGAATATAATTTTAGATGAATATGGCTGCAAGTCAACAAATCAATAATTCATTGTATCCAACCTTTCTTTACTTTCCAATAACCAATAATACATTTCAATCTGCATGCCAGACGTGCAGTGCATGAACAGTGAAATTAAAGTAATTTGGACTATAATTACTTCCCATCTTATTCCCAGGGGCGGAGCTACATACCGTGGGTCAGCTGCCCCCACTCGCACCCCGCATATATTATGACTTTAATTTAGGAAAGGTCCAAGGTTTGATTCTTATTGCAGATTTTTATAATTTTTTGGTCTTTTAAAAATATTAATAGTGATATTTTTAGTTTTATTATAATATGTGTAAACATTGTTTTATATTAATATTGAGATGTATAATTTATAATGTGTTTTCTATTTGAATCATTTTATCAAACTAATTATGTTTCATATTTTGGTATAAGTACCAGGACTATGTGGTCTAATGGTATCCGGGTTAGATTTCCATTTGGAAGATTATGAGTTCGAGCCTCAGTGGAGGCGTTATTGGTTCTTTGTGTTTCAGTAGGTTGAGAAAGTATATGAACAGATCTTACAATGTAATAGAGTCAGTAACATTAAAAAAAAATATTTTGGTAAGTTTTGATGTATATCGATTTTTCACTCATATCTAATAATATTTATGACTATGATGTTAAGTGTTTTTTTTTTTTCAAACTATCTCTTTTGTATTAATCTTTCGCCCCCACTAAAAAAAAATTCTAGTTCCGTCTGTGCGAGACTCCGAAAAAAACTAACTTGCTAGATGCGAAATTAGAAGTTTTCTTTAGAGAATTAGGAGTCAAGTATCAAAGTTTAATTTGTTACCACTAATTTTGATGGATGAAAATTAGTTTCATTTTTTTTTTTTTTGGGTGAAAACCTGCTACAATTATCTAAAGGTATGCATAGAAAAGATTATATATGATGAATTTAATTGGTAAAGTGTTAGTGAAAAATGAACTTGTGAGTTTTAAATATGATGCCGGCCACACGCCCCACACCTACGTACAACGTAGTAGGCCACCCCTTGTAAATTCCATAATGTAGTGGTTGGAATGGATTTTTCCCACGGCATTTTCCATGTTTGAATGTTACGCGCGAGGCAGCAAATTAATGTCTAAAGGTGGTCTCCCCAAGATACTTCCTTGTAATGAAATAGCAAATAATTTTGAATTTGGAGATCTCAATTAAGTATGAAATAATGACAAATTAAGAACCAAAAAAAGGTGTGAAAAGCCCAAATCTAAGACGTGTGGAAAAACCAAGTCTAAGACATAATGTGGAAACCGATATATGGTCCTAAAAATCTCCTGTTTCGTAGGTAGAATATACATAAACTCTTAACAACATACACATAATCTTAACATAATACATAATATACATAAATTCTTAACAACATATTACACATAATCTTAACATAATATAATAATAACATACATAAACTCTTAACATAATATACATAAACTCTTAACATAATATACATACACTTTTAAGCTGCACAATGCATTGTGCACCTTGGTGTACGATATAATTTACCTGTGGAAAGACCAAGGGCCATGCTGCATAAGTCTTACTGTACTCTTCGTTGGTATAGTCCTTAATATTGAAGTTCCTACCCTGGAGGATATGGTTGAGTGGAAGGGACTCATCCATCCTTAAAAAATATTAAGGGTTCGATCCTTGGTTTTAGGAATGAAGCAGCCTTAAATCTCCAGGCCAGCTGTCCCACCCAAAAGAGGTGCCTACAATCAGCAAGGGAATTAGTCACTGTGTTCGACGGAGGAAACCCTGAGTATACCTAAAAAAATATTGAAGTTCCTAAAAATTAAAAAAAAATCAAAAGAAAAAAAAAAAAAGGAAAGCTTCTATTAATAACACATATGGTATTGTTCCATAAAGATATTTCAATATCATTTTCTAAAAACATAATAAGTGCGAATGAAAGTTATACCCTTTATTTATGTCCGTTTTTTCCGTTAAGTTTTTTTTATACATTATGCTATAAAGGTTGTACTTTATAATATTTTGGACAAACCTACCCCTACCGTTATAACTTCCGTTATCTTTTCCATTATTGTTACCATGCACATGCATCCACCATATATTTTCTTATCTTATTCAATAATAATAATAATAATATTTATACATTATAATTTGGAGTTATTTCCTACAATATAAATATCAAATGTATAAAAATGTTTACACTATTATTATTATTATTATTATTATTATTATTATTATTATTATTATTATTATTATTATTATTATTATTATTTAAATATAAAAAATCTTAACATAAAATAATAATATTGGGCACCTAATTTTTGCGCATCGCGCATAAGAAAATACTAGTAAAACATATAATTGGGAAAAGAGTTACATTGAGTATTGAAGTTTATATGAAAAAGTAATTACTTTAATTGGGAAAAGAGTTAGATTGAGTATTGAAGTTTATATGAAAAAGTAATTAGGTCATGAACTTTAAAAAGTTGTAATTAATAACATCAACTAGTCAATTTTGTGGATCTAGTCTCAATAGCCTATTATCTACCAATAATAACTGGTAATTAATGTTTCGGACTTCCGGTGACCAAATTCGGTCACCAGGGACTATTGAATAATGTTGAAAAAATCGCTAGGCGCCTGGGGACCGCCTAGGGCTCTTAGAGCGTCTAGGCGGGCGCCTAGAATGCCTAGGCAGGTGCCTAGGAGGCCAACCGCCTAGTGCCTAGGCGCGATTTTTGCAACACTGCTATTGAATGATTGTTAGCCGCTAGAACCCTAATTATCGGTAGATAGTCAACTATTATTAGATTTAGATGCACAAAAATAACAAGTTGATACTTTTAACTATAATAACTTTTTAAAATTTAAGAGTCTAATTGTTTTTATGTATAAATTAAAATTTAAAGTTGTATTTGATTTTTTTCCATATAATTTAATAAAAAACCATGCGAGGTAGCTAGTCTATTTGATTATTTTGATTTCTCTTATTTATTATAAATCTACTTTACAATGGTTTTTGTGTGTGTGCGCGCACACAAAATGGAGAAGACCTAAAGCCCCCGCTAAGTAATTCTCCAAGTAGTAGCCCCTTAGGCATCCACATGGAGAAGTTCCGTTAAGCAATATGGTGGAGCATTCAGAATAGTAGTCCCCCAATTGTTATTTTGTTCAAATTAGTGAAATCCTAATTATTGAAGGATCAAATTGGATATTAACTTTTAAAAAATGATCCCAAAAAATGATGATTAAATAGATAAAGCATAATTCTCATACCAAATAAATGACTGCCAAATTCTTTCTTAACCACAAAGAAATAAAAGGAAACACGAATTATAATCAAAGTTTTAATGTAAATGAAAGTGAAAACATATATATGCCCGCGGGTTGGGTCAAAGGGTCATGATTGTAGGCTCGTCCCCACCAAATCTAAGAAAAATTTTCTACGTTCTCCATGCATTCTTTTCATTGGGCAGCGTTTTAAGATTGTCGTAGACTTTAAACTCAACTTTTCTCAATTCAAATTACATTAATTAATTTCATTAGTTAAACAAGGAAGGCCAAGTCTACACCAAATTAGAAAAGAGAAATGAGGAGGAGATCTATAGAGCAAACTGCAAAAGGAGAGCAACATACAATACCCATCTCTATATTCATAATCTATACTCTATAAAAATTTAAATATCCCGCAATTTGAACTTGGGGCATGTAATCTGTAAGTCAGTTGGGACACATTCCATGATTTATTTCATCTATCAATCTCTAGGACATGAATGGTGTAGGGCTCTAAAGTTTGAGTTTCAAACTAATAAAAAAATTAATATAAAAGGGAATCGTGTTAGTACCATTTATTTATGTTCATATTCCTATACTTGTTGAGTTGTATATTATGTTATAAATATTGTATTACTACTTTTTATTGAACAAAATTGTCTTTACAGCGTTAAACTTCCATTTTTATATATTAACTACTTCCATAATTATATTTATTCATTTATTCTTCCAAAAGGCTGAACCCCAACCCTAATATATTTATTCATTTATCATTTTATTAAATGCTACTCCTTAATTTTTTTCTAGTATAGACATAATGTTCTCAAAATAAAAAATAAAAATAAAAATAAAAATAAAAATACTACAACAATTATTAATCATAACATGACTATTACCCAAATTATCAATTATATTTTTTAAAATAATATGAATTTTACGACCTTCTTAAAATTTATATACTATATTTTTATAAAATTTATTTTAATATAACTATAATTTTAACTCTAAGTGTACTAATATTTAACATTTATTTTGATGCATCATGCATCGTGTATAGAATCTATATCTATATCTATATCTATATCTATATCTATATCTATATATATATATATATATATATATATATATATATATATATAAAAGTAAAATCCTCCTAACAAATTTTCCCCCCAAAACTTTTGTAGTAAAACTTATTTGGTAAGTAAATGTCAAATGGAAATTAAATAAAATCTATTAATTGGTAATATTATATATGGTATTATATTCTATAATATAATTGATAATATTATTGTTCAAGTATAAAATAAAATTAAAATAATAACAATAACGACAACAACAACAACAACAACAACAACAACAACAACAATAATAATAATAATAATAATAATAATAATAATAATAATAATAATAATAATAATAATAATCCAAACAAAACTATATACAAAATAAAATTAAAATTAAAATTAAAAAAAAAAAAAAAGAAGAAGAAGACAAATGTGGCTCCCCTTAGTAAATGATGTGGGATCATTTTGATCCCACATTGAAAATGTTTGGAAAGAGGAGCTCTTGATCTCCTCTATATAAGAAGAACAATGCTCCTCTTACAACCATACAATTGCTTGCCCATCAATGTGGGCAAGTATTGAGAAGTCCAAAGGCTTTTTATAGTACTATTGACCCGACAAATTATGTTGTGGAATTGTGTCCACCTTGCAAAGTAGATATGGTTCAAAAATAGTTCATAATTATGAATATAATAATCAATATATAGTTCAAAAATTATGAACATATAGTTCTATAATTATGAACATAGTGTTGTGAACATAATTATGAACACATAGTTATCTAATTATGAATATAGAGATTCAATAATTGTGAATATGAAGTTCAAAAATTATGAATATATATCTTTATAATTATGAACATATAATTCAATAACTATGAACATAGAGTTCTGTAATTATGAATATAGAGTTCAATAATTATGAATATGAAGTTCAAAGATTATGAATATATAGCTTTATAATAATGAACTTATAGTTCAGTATTTATGAGCATAGAATTGTGTCCACCTTGCAAGGTGGATACGGTTCCACAACATAACTATTTGATTAACCCTGTTACATATAGTATCTGTTCATATAAACTTTCTCAACCTATTAAAATCCAACGTGTCAAATGGCTCTTATTTAAAAAAAAAAAAAAAAAAAAAAAAAAAAAAAAAAAACTTATCTTAATGGATTCTTAATTTTTTTAATTATTAGGGGTTTGGGAAAGATTAACCAAAAATGTATATGAGTTGTTTTAGTTTTTAGCAGTTTCGAGCAAATTGTTAAGTTATTAAATAATATTTTTGGTGTTTTGATAAAATATAAAATGTTAAACAGACGAATTTCTTAAAATTTTGACGAATTTGCCAAATAATCAAATTACAATAACAACAACAACAATAATAATAACAATAATAATCCAAACAAAACTATATACAAAATAAAATTAAAATTAAAATTAAAATTTAAAAAAAATAAAAATAAAAAAGGAGTCACGGGCTCCCTTTGTAAATGATTTTGAGATCATTTTTATCCCACACTGAAAATGTTTGAAAAGAGAGAGCTCCTTTATATAAGAGCAATGATCCCCTTACAAACATAATTTCTTGCCCATCAATGTGGGCAAGTATTGAGATGTCAAAAGGTTATTATTTAAAAAGCCTCAACTTTGTCTTCTTATTTTAGTTTTTATTTATTTATTATTTATTTATTTATTATTAATGGGGGTTGTGATAGATTAACACAAAATGTATGTGTTGTATTAGTTTTTAGCCATTTGGAGCAAATTACTGAGTTATTATATAATTTTTTTGGGGGTTTTGATTAATGTTAAAATGTTAAAATGACGAATTTGTTAAAATTTTGGCGAGTTTATCAATAATAATAATAATAATAATAATAATAATAATAATAATAATAATAATAATAATAATAGTAGTAGTAGTAGAAATCCAAAGAAAACGATATACAAAATAAAATTAAAACTAAAATAAATAAGAAGAAGACAAAAGGGTGCCACGAACTCCCCTTTGTAAATGATGTTGGATCATTTGATCCCACATTGAAAATGTTTAGAAATGAGCTCTAGAGCTCCTCTATATAAGCGCCCCAGCCGACGCCTGGCTGACGCCGACCACCCCGCGGCGTCCTGCCCCGGCCCAATAACCCCAGCCTACCTGGTCTTCAGCCCATACCTAATGTCCCCATCACATTTGATGTAGTAGCATGTATATGTAGGTATCTTCTTCTCTTATAATAATAAAAAAAAAATTAAAAACTATATTCAATGTTCTAATAAATGCGTCAATCTGCATGCCCAAACGTACATGAACAAAGAAACAAAAGAAAAGATGACTGTAACCAAACTACTACTTTCCAACCAACGAATTATTATTATTATTATTTTCTTTTTTACAAACTATCTCTTTTGTATTAATCTTTCATCCCCACTAAAAAAAAAAGAATTAAAAAAAGAAAATTCTGGATCCATCTATGTGCGAGACTCCGAAAAAATCTAACTAGCTAGAGGCGAAATTAGAAGTTTTCTTTAGAGAATTAGGAGTCAAGTATCAAAGTTTAATTTGTTACCACTAATTTTGATGGATCAAAATTAATTTCATTTTTTTTTTGGGGTGAAACCATAAAACCTGCTACAATTATCTGAAGGTATACATAGAAAAGATCATATATGACGAGTTCAATTGATAAAATATTAGCAAAAAATAAACTCGCAACTTTTAAATATGATGCCACACGCCCACACCTACGTACAACGTACTAGGTCGCCCCTTGTAAATTCCATAATGTAGTGGTTGGAATGGATGTTTCCCATGACATTTTTCACGTTTGAATGTTATGCGAGGCAGCAAATTAATGTCTAAAGGTGGTCTCCCCAAGATAGTGAAGATACTTCCTTGTAATGAAATAGCAAATAATTTTGAATTTGGAGATCTCAAGTATGAAAAAATGACAAATTAAGAACCAAAAAACGTGTGAAAAGCCCAAATTAAATCTAAGACGTGTGGAAAAACCAAGTCTAAGACATAATGTGGAAAGCAATTGATATATCGTGCGCCCCAAAAATCCTCTGTTTCGTATGTACATAACTGTATAGTAGAATATACATAAACTCTTAACATAATACACAAAATCTTAACATAATACATAATATACATATCACATACACTCTTAACATACATAATACACAAACTTTTAACATAACACAGATGAACTTTTAACATAATATACGTAAATTCTTAACATAATACACATAAACTCTTAACATAATACACATATACTTTGAGGGCGTACAATGCATTGTGCACCCTGGTGCGCGATATAATTTGCCTGTGGAAAGACCAAGGGCCATGCAGCATAAGTCTTACTATACTCTTGGTTGGTATAGTCTTCAATATTGAAGTTCCTAAAATTTTTTTTTTTTTAAAAAAAAGGAAAGGTTCTATTAATAGCACATATGGTATTGTTCCATAAAGATATTTCAATATCATTTTTAAAAAATATACTTGGGAAAAGAGTTAAAAGTATTGAACTTTATATGAAAAAGTAATTAGATCATGAACTTTAAAAAGTTGTAATTAAATATATCAACTAGTTTTTTTATGGATCTAGTCTCAATAGCCTATTATCTATCAATAATAACTGGTAATTAGTGTTCCGGTGAACAAATTCGGTCACCGGGGACTATTGAATAATTGTTGGTCGCTAGAACCCTAATTACCGGTAGATAGTCAACTATTATTAGGTTTAGATGCACAAAAATAACAAGTTGATATTTTTAACTATAATCACTTTTTATAATTTAAGAGTCTAATTGTTTTTATGTACAGTGGCGGACCCAGGATTTTTCTTCAACGGGGGCAAAGAAGCAAAGGGAAAATAAATTCAGAAATGTTCAAATACAAGGTTCAAATACAGATAAGATAGTTGAAATACAAAATACATTATAAATTACAATACAATATTTATGATGAACTACGGGATAATATTCCCCTATGCTTTTTCATATTTTGAAATCGTTGTAGAATTGCTTCATTTGAAACTTGATCAAAAATGTCATTTTAAACATACGGCACTAAGCAATCATTTAATAAATCATCGCTCATCTAGTTGCGTAAATATGTCTTGATTAACTTTTCCTTTTAGCCGGATCAGCTTCAAGTTCATCTATGTTAAATTCAATACGAGGCCTTGCACTTGACACTTCGGGACTAGCCTGACTAGATGAATCCTCAAAAGTTGCTTTTCTTTTAAAGAATTTTTCCATAACTGAACCAAATTTCCAACAAACGAATAATATATTAACATATAATTCATTATTCATGAGCTCATGACAAATTGACAACCAACATAAGCATTAATTTATCAAAGTGACCGAAGAGAGGAATGTAAGGTGAAGACAATGTGTTAAGTCTTTGAAGTGTAATAGGAAAGTAAAATTTTGATTAAAATATGGCAATTGTACAATTTTGGCCAAACTACCAAAATACACTCAATAACAGAAAGTGGTTATACAAATAACTTAAAAGCCTAAGTCAGCTATATTTCCATATAACTTAATGGCAAAAACTACCACTTTCCCTTTCATTCTCTAAAACTAAAATTGCCAGTGTACCACATTGTATAAAAGAGTTGAAATTCAATGAAGAATAACTAATTGCTAATAATGGGTCAGTTAATTGTTCTTACAGTATGGAAAAAAAAATATTATAGATTAGACTTTAGAGTTACATCAGTGTTCTTGTTTAATAATTAATAGTGTCAATGATCAGGATATACTTACTGAAGAAATTGATAGGTTATCTGGAAGGTCCAAGTAGAAGAATAACTTTGGAAGAAAAAAGTACCAAAAAAATTAAGAAGAAAAAAAGATAACTCCAAAAAAAAAAAAAAAAAAAAAAAAAAAAAAAAACAAAACAAAAAAACAAAACAAAACAAAAAACTAAAACAAAAGGGGCATAAACATGAACCCACTGCCACACAAATGATGCCATAACACTTTGAAGCTACAACAAAATTCATCACAACTGTTCAAATAGTGAAAATAAAAAATGGAGTAAAACCACCTTGCATCAAATGCTACTGTGTTGTTCCACTTCCACGTTACTAACTTTAATTTATACCGTATTTAGTTATTTACTTGTTGCCAGCTCTTTCATTGATTGTTAGGATGCCTGTAACACCCTCGATTTTTAGCATAATTTAAAACTTATGTGTAAAGACAAATCTAACCATTTCATTAAAAGCAAGCGGAAACTAACAGTCAAGTACGAGGGAGTTATGCCACATCTATCTAAGCTATAGATGCACAGGATAGAATCTAAAACCAAATCCAACATAAGTTAACAGTTCAACAAACTAAGGCTCACATGTCACAAATCTAACTACAGATAGGGAAAGCTACGCTAATCACGTCCTCATATAGTGCGCTCTCAACGATCTACTCATCACCTGAAAACATAAGGGGTAGCACCCGTTAGCGAATAATGCTAAGTAACCCACCAATACTCGTTGAGTACAATATAGTATAGATATATGAAAACCATTTGAGACTTTGGAATACATAGTATATAGTCTTTAAAACGAGGAATAGAGACATCATAAGACTCATCATAGATCACTCTCAAATAAAGACCAACATCAACGGTTACTCAATAAATCAATAAGAATTACAGAAGCAATCTTACTCATCAACAAGATACATCATACGATAATCAATCAAGGGATAACAATAATCATGCTCATAAGCAATAGAAAGTCAAGGATCACATTCAACGATACGTTTCAAGTACCAACTTCCAACCTTATGCCCAGTTCCAACCTTATGGCTACCCCCGACCTTATCTCAGTTCCAACCATTACCTCCTAGTGCTACCCTGTACACCGAGTCCAACATTTTCCCTCCTGGAGCCATTGCTCCCCGCCAAACTCCGCTAGCTTTTACCGCCGAACTCTTAGCACATGCAGTGCCATTCAATAATAAGTAATAATACTTATCAACACATGTGTGATAGTATCCCACCGATCAAATGAACAAAGCTCAGTAACAATACCACCAATCTCATAGTAACACATAGTCATTATCATAGAGGATTGAGGCTCATCGATAGCCCAATCAAGTATCAACAAACGTGTACAACATATGCACAAGATCATGTCAAGGAATTCAATCGATAGATTTCAATGAAAGACATGAATCAACAATCAAACAACGATAGACCTTAATCCAAAGGTTAACATGATTGGCAACACAAGTTGCCAATCCTCATTAGGAAACGCAGGAACAACACATACTAGCATCAACAACATCATAACTAGCATGTACATCAAAAGGATAAACATAACGGTTCAATCGAACATCAGCGACTTCGCATTAATCCAACGAATCACAAAGTTGGACCATATGGTTTAGGTTATTCTGGAGGAAAAGACAAGGTTGTAACAGTGTTTGTAAAAGCCTTGGGTCCTGACTCAGTCACTGGACCAGTTCATGATAGTCCAGAAACCAGTACAGCTCAACACCGTGTCACAGGTGCTCCAGGTAAAAAGGTAACCAAACTCAGGTATTATAATCCCATCTGTCATTATTGCAGGGTGCGATGACATACGAAACCAGAGTGTTTCTACTTCTACAAAGACCAAAGAGTTGAGAAATATACCCAAAAGTTCCTCACCCCGTTTGTTAAGCAAATCTGGGTAAGAAAGAGTGATTTCGTATGTCATGTTTCGTTTCACTCCACGAGCACAAACAGAGAAGAAAGATGGTACTTCGACAGTGGGTGTTCGCGTCACATGACGGGAAATAAAAGTTTTTTAAACAACATAAAGGGCAATACAGGAGAAGTCACGTTTGGTGATTGTGTTAAGGGTAAAATCACTGGAATTGGCACTTTAAATGTATCAGGGTTACCCAAACTGAAGCAAGTTTTTCTGGTAGAAGGACTTCATGCAAACCTTATAAGTATAAGTCAATTATGTGACCAAGAGTGGAAAGTCTGCTTCACAAGAGACAGTTGCAATGTCATAGACTATTAGAAAAATTGCATCATGGAAGGTAAACGTTCTTCTGATAACTGCTATATTCTTACTAACGACTCTATTTGTTATAGGTCTAGCATAAAAGAGTCCAAGTTGTGGCATAAAAAACTGGGTCACTTAAATTATCGCTCTCTTGATAAACTAATCAAAATTGATGGTGTACGAGGTCTACCGAATATAAAGGTAGAAACAACTGGAGTATGTAGTGCTTGTCAAGATGGAAAATAGACTAGGTCACCTCATACTACTCAGAACATGATCAACACCGCGCACTGTCTGGAACTAATCCACATGGATCTTATTGGACCCACCAGAACCGAAAACATTGGAGGAAAAAGGTACATTCTAGTTTGTGTTGATGATTTTTCTCGTTTTTCGTGGGTCAGTTTTCTCAGGGAGAAATCCGAAGCGTTCGAAGCCTTCAAAGCACTGGGACTCAAACTCCAAAAGGAGAAGAATGAGCCAGTTATATAGAGGTGACCACGGTTACGGTTCGAACCGGAACTGTGACTGTGCAAACCGGAACCTAACCGAAACCGTCCGTACGGTTCCGGTTAAGGTTTGTAAAATTTTAGAACCGGAACCGACCCAAACCCTAAAAAAAAAAATTAAAATTAGCTGGCTGCAGCCAGCAGACGTGCTTGACTGCCTGCAGGCTGCAGCCAGCAGTCTGCCACTCTGCCGCATAGCAGTGAGGCAGAGTGGATTGTGGAGTCACGGGAATCTCTACCCATGACTCCACAGAGTTATTAAGCCAAAAGGCCAACTGGCCAAGTGGCCAGTTAGCCAATATATATATATATATATATATATATATATATATATATATATATATATATATATATATATATAAAATTTCAATTTCCAACGGCTATTTTAGAGCTAGAGGCCAAAGCACTCAGCTTTGAGTCTTATTGACAAGACTCAAAGTTGAGTCTTTGTCATTCATGTTCCGAAATTTTCGGCTTTAAGTCGAAAATTAGGAAAATTTTGAAAATGATTGTTGAAAACGGTCATTTTTTCAGGCATTCGTTCATTCTTTAGACTTCCCCTTCTATAAATGCGTGAGTTCAACAAATATTTCTTCATCCAAAATTTCAGTATCTCTCTCTCACTCTCTCAAACTCTCAATACTATGATTCTCTGAATTCTCATTCTCTTATTTTCTCATTCTACAAAATTTGAATAATTGCTTACATTCCCTACAATTTTCAATACTTTCTTTCAACTCTTATTATTTATTTCTACATTTTTTAAATTTCTACTTCTACCATGGATAGTTCAAGCAGAGCATCTTTTTCGGTCAAGCTAGTGGGAGTCGTGAAAATCGTGGCAAATCTACTTCTTATTTTGAACCTCCACGACATTCTGTTCAAGGATTTTCAAGAGAATCTCCTTCTCTTGAACCTCCACGGCATTCATTTCAGTGATTTCAAAGCGAATATCAATACCACCAATTTTTACAACAACAATCGTACTACCAAGACTTAAACCCAAATCCTCAACTAGCTATAAATGACCCGCAATGTGCCTCTTTTGGCTCTCATCCCTTTCTTTCTTCTTTTGAATCTAACAATCCTACTGAAGATTTTTCTCAGGGCCAGGACAATGAAGGCGAAGAAGTTCAACCTTCCATTCTTTCCAAGCTAAAATCTGATCTTTTCAGGGTACACATGACGAAAGTTGAAAAACCTGATGGAAGAACTGTAGTAAAATGTAATTATTGCGATAAGGAGTACAATTGGACGAAATTCGGTGGCTACGGGCCATACAGAAAGCATATAAGCACAAAGCATCCGGACAAAGAGGTAAATACCCAAACACAACAACAAATTGGCAGGTACACAACTAAATCTAATGCTTTATTTCGTTACACAGATGATAACAGTAGAAACAAGTTTGCTGAAATGGTTGCAATAGATGGTCTACCTTTTAGTTTTGGTCAAAAAGTGGGTTTTAAAGAATTTTGTCGGGGTGCATTAAATTCCCAAATGTGTGAATGGGCGCTACATTCATATTTAGGTGTTACATGTCATTATGTAGATCATGAATGGGCGCTACAAAAAAGAATTCTTGCTTTTCGTTATTTTGATGAATCACACACTGCACACAACATTTATAGTAAGTTGCAAGGTATTTTTGATGAATACAGAATTACTAACAAAATTTTTGCAGTTGGTTTTGATAATGCTTCTAATAATACTGCTGCAATCCCTGAACTTATGGAGTTATGTGGTCCATATTTTGGAGGTAAATTTTTCCATCAAAGATGTGTTTGTCATGTTTTAAATTTATGTGTTCAAGCTGGTTTACAATCACTTCACAATAGTATTAAACCCATTAGAGATGTTATTCTTTATTTGTGGAGACATCTAAATGCACAAAAAGAATTTAATAGATTTTGTATATTAGAAAAAGCAACTGTAAAAAGATTTCCTCGAGATGTACCAAATCGTTGGAATTCTACGTTTCTTTTGCTCAGTAGTATTATTCCTTACAAAGAGTTGTTATGTTCCTTTTTTTGCGAATAATAGTGCTATTAATTTATTTCCACAACATTAGGATGCATGCACTAAAGTTTGTGAATTATTAAAAGAATTTAATGATGCTACCAATGCTTTGTCTGGCGTGTATTATCCGACTACACATTTATTTTTAGTTTATGCTGTAAATATTGTTGGCAAGCTCTTTGAATTTCGTGATGATCCTATATTGCATGGTGCTATTTTATGCATGAAATCAAAATTTTTAGAATATTATAGAAATATTCCTATAATTTATTTAATTGCAATGTGTTTTGATCCTCGTTGTAAATTAGTAGGTTTAAATACATTTTTACAAAATTATTATGAATGTTTAGAATTAAATGATCCTACAAGCCCACAATATGTTAATTTTAATATTGTCCATAGTGAAATAACAAATTTGTTTTATAGTATGTGTGAAGAATATTTGCATGCTTATGGTCCTTCGTTGAACATTAGTACATCTTCCCAAAGTAGTTCACAAAGCTCGCAATCAACTCAACGAAGTAGAGGCTTTAACCTGCTATCTAGAGTAGGTAAAAATCGTCGGACCAGTGGGACAACAAGTTCATCATCATCTCCAGCATTATCCGAGGCAGAAATATATTTAAATACTGATTTTGTATTTTTTTGATAATGATAATGATGATCTGAATGTTTTGCAGTGGTGGAAAGACCATGAAAGAAATTTTCCTATTTTATCTGTTATTGCAAAACAAATTTTTGGAACTCCTGCTTCTACTGTGGTAGTAGAACGGGAATTTAGTGTAGGTGGAAACATGTTGGATGATACTCGTTCAAGGATGACGCCCCAGTCAATTGAAGTTCAAGTTTGCACATCAGATTGGGGATTGGCAAAGCTTCGACAACAAGAAATTGAAAGATCTACCATCATTAACGATTTCTTTTACGATGATGCAACCACTACTGCAACCGAAGGGGAGCAAACAGACACTTAAAAAAAAGGGTAAGAGAACTACGTGAGCTTTGATTCTTATTGAAGTTTCAATAAGATACGTAGGCAACTTAGTCTTGGTAAAATTAAGTGCAAGCCCAAAATTATTAATTTTTTTTTAGTTTAAATGAAATAGATTACTTAATTTTTGCTATGAATAAATTAATATAAAGACTTTATGGGAGTGGTGGTCAGAGAGTATTGAAACTGATAAAGGTAATTCTTAGGCTATTAATGTTTAGAAAAATAAAGGAAACAAATGACAGTTACTGTCATTTGTTTCCTTTATTTTTCTAAACATTAATAGCCTAAGAATTACCTTTATCAGTTTCAATACTATCTGATCGCCATTCTCATAAGGTCTTTGTATTAAAACATAGCAAAGTTAAACAATTTATTCCACTTAAACTTACAAGTTACAACTGTCATCTTTAAAAAAAATAAAAAATTTACTCAACTTACGGCCTAACACTACTTACAAGCTTACAATTTATTCAACTTACAATTTACAAAAAAAAAAAAAAAAAAAAAAAATACCGGTTAGAACCGGCGGTTCCAACCGGAACCTTAATATAAGGTTCCAGTTCCGGTTCAGCCAAATACGGAACCGGAACCGCCGGTTCCGA